TACGTCTCTGGAGCCCCTCGACACATCGTCAAGTGGGGGCGGGGGAACATCACTGACCATTTCTGATTGCGAAGAGATCCTCAAAGATGCCCACCTTGGCGACAGTATTAGTGTAAATGGTATGCACTTCACTTGTCCTTGATACTTAACAACAGCAAGCAATAGCAAAGCTGTTGAGATATTCGTTGTCTTTCTGTCATTCGTCTCAGAAGCAAGCGCATTAAAGAACTTCGGTTCCCTCGACAATGGAGACTTAATAAACTAATCTATCAAAAGGAACCTGCCTGACAGTAACCGCATTCGATAAGACCTGGTTCAAGGTCGGCGTCGCCCCCGAGACGCTTCGGCGGACAAACCTGGGATCATTGGAAAAGGGCTCCCGGGTAAATCTTGAGCGGGCCGTTCTGGCAGAGACGCGGATGGGCGGTCACTTCGTACAGGGTCATGTCGACACTGTCGCCAAAATTCTCTCCGTCACTCCGGATCAGAACTCTTTGGTATTCCGACTACAGCCTCGCGATCAGAGTGTAATGAGGTATATCGTGGAGAAGGGTTATGTCACACTGGATGGAGCCAGTTTGACGGTGACCAAGGTAGTGGATGGGCCAGACGGGTACTTTGAAATCATGCTTATTGCCTACACACAAGAGAAGATTGTGACGGCAGCTAAGAAGCCCGGGGATTACGTCAACGTAGAGATTGACATTGTGGGCAAATACGTTGAAAAGAGTGTCCAGGGTTACTTTGCTGGAACCGCTGGAGGGGACATGAGCATCTTGGAGAAGATGGTGGCTCGCATTGTAGACGAGAAGCTAAAGCGGTGATAAGCACCAAACCAATGCGGTCTGACAGCCTTGAATAGTGGGATCAACTTTAGATCTAATCAGTATGACCGAACTCATAATGTCTTCCATGTATCGACCTGGGAGCATGGAATCGATCACACCATGACAGGACTCTACCAATGCCAGAGCTAGCAGATGATCATGAACGGGAAGTCGACGAAATCAAAAGCGGTGCATGTCATACATAAATGCACACACTGTTTGCATAAGATAGGTAGATTTAAGTATGTCAAGCTCGTAGTCTATCTAAAAGGGCTCAAGGGACGCAAGGGCCATATCGACTTAGATATCCAACGATGTCTCATGCACAACATAAACTATGGTTTAATCATTTTTTCTGCACGGCACACTGAGGTTTCTTCGGCAGCAGGAGCAGAAGGGTGATCACTGCATTTGATTTTCCTATACATTCTTGTTGAGGACACTCGACAAAGGGTATAAATTCGTCCTACCAAAGACACAACACATATCAACCTCATAAAAACACCATTTACTCCAGACTTTTATGAGAGAAAAACCGCCTCTTGAGTAGCTGACATAGTTTGAAAGGTCGGAAATCAGTCTCTGCGCCTCATTCTTCCATGGACTCATCTTCGTCGTCGTTATCCTGCGCTTGTCCCTCTTCATCGTCTTCCAGGTCATCGCTGAGCCAATCATCCTCGTCATCCATATCCAAGTCTTCTTCGTCCTCGCCATCTTCACCGCCTTTTCCTTCAGCTCGAGCTTTGGCCTTCTCCTGTTTCTTCTTCTCAATGTTCTCTCTTTGCTGCTTCTTTCTCTCGTCCTTCTCCTTCTTCTTCTTGGCCCAATTCTTATCCAAAGATTTGACCTCTTGTTCCGATTTCTTGATGTAGTCGTGCCACATGACTCTGCCCTCACAGAGACCTTCTTCGACCTTGATTAGCCGAAGTTTCAGGCGTGGACCCAGTTCGACGAGCTTGACCGCGCGTTTCTCCACCTCTGGGGCATTGGCTTTCTGGACCTTTGCTTTCTCGCCGGACTTCATGCGCTGCAATTCTCTCTTTGTCAAGACCTTTTTTGTGGTGCTCTCTGCAATCTCGACCTCAGCATCGGTGTCCAGTTCCGTCTCGCTCGCCGAGGTATAGCCGGCAGCTGATGGGTCCAGGAGATAGTCGGCGGCATCTTCCAGCTTCCCCAGGTTTGGGACGGCAGACTTTTTCTTCTCCCGACTGCGAATTTCCTTGGGGTCCAAGCGTCGGATACGCTTCGAGATGCCTGTCTTTTTGGTGCTGATGGCATAATGTCTTAGATTCAAAACGTAGGAATCTTCCTCTTCCTCTGATCCGGCGGTAAGCTCGCGATTCAGAAGCATCACACGGCGAATGGAAGAGAGGGGTGTAGCCTGAGGATTGATGGGTGGGAAAAGTGACTGAAAGATAGTTGTTGTGAGGCTCTCTAGACGTTTCGGTACTTTCGAATCCTCAGTAGCATTTGGCGAGTTAAAATTGTTCATCACTAGCAAAGGAGGTGTTTTGTGATCCTGGCCACCACCTCTTGGGCGCTTCAATGCCTTCTCAACGTCTCTGCACAGAGAATAGCTTTCGACTTTGAAATGAAGGGTCGGACCGCGAGGTGTAAGCGCCAATCGCATATTAGTATTTCCTGTAGCTGATTTTGAGAAAAGCATAAGATGAGTGACACCCAAAGGGCCCGTCATTGTCGTGTAGTCTCTGAGTCGATTGGATTTCCGTTCCTGAAGTGACCGATCATCAGCTACTGACTTCAGAAACCGCCAGTCTGTTCGAGGACACGCTTACCTTCAATCGTACAGCTGTATCTGGCTCCATCATCAAACGGACATCCTTGACCAGTTGGCTGACACTTGAACCGACCTGTGAAGCGCCGACTCTGATAACCATAGACTTCGGAGTTTTGCTCATGCTGCTTTTGGCGGCAGCAGACGCATTTTGAGCACGCGCATGCGTGCGCTTCTTCGTACGTGCCTTGGCCATTGTAATAGAAGTCCAGATATGAGAATATTGGGAATAAAAATGAGTCCCAATAGCTTCCTCTGCTGTCTGGACAAGAGCGTGACTTTTCTCTTAGGTCCAGAAAAAAGTAGATTTGTCGGAGCAAAGCCGCGGAGGAGCTCGGATCAACAATTTTGCGGCGTCCAAAAATTATTTTTCTTTACTGATACATAGAAGAGCAGATCAGAATCAAACGAAATCTATCGATTAGTGCTTTGAAAACTATCCGACCACAATGCCGGACGTCAAGAAGCGCAAAATCGCCCATGAGGCCCCGGAACATGAGAGCGACGCTGAATCAACAAGTTCTCACGAGTCCGTCGCTCAACAAGATAATACTGCTGAGACGCAAGATGAAGCGGCGGCCACAGAGACAAGGCCAGCGCCCAAGAGCTTCAAAGATCTAGGCATCATCGATCAACTATGTGAAGCTTGTGAAACGATGGGATACAAGGCTCCTACGCCAATTCAAGCCGAATCGATCCCTTTAGCACTCCAAGGTCGTGACTTGATCGGTTTAGCAGAAACCGGAAGTGGAAAGACAGCGGCTTTTGCTCTTCCTATATTGCAAGGTATGGTTCCCGTCAGACCTCACTATCATCTGAGCGTCTTGGTTTCTATCGATGCCTACTTCCCAGTCATTCCGATATCTGACAAGCCACCCACAGCTCTAATGGAAAAACCACAATCCTTCTTTAGCCTCATCCTCGCACCTACTCGAGAATTGGCGTTTCAGATCTCAAAATCATTTGAAAGTCTTGGTTCTACGATCAATGTCCGATGTGCTGTGATCGTCGGAGGTATGGACATGGTCTCGCAGTCAATCGCTCTTGGAAAGAAACCTCATATCATCGTCGCTACGCCTGGTCGGTTGCTAGACCACCTGGAAAACACCAAGGGCTTCTCGCTACGAACTCTTAAATACCTCGTCATGGATGAGGCTGATAGACTTCTTGACATGGACTTCGGTCCCCTTCTCGACAAAATCCTCAAAGTTCTCCCCAGAGAACGGCGCACATTCCTTTTCTCTGCAACCATGAGTTCCAAGGTCGAGTCACTGCAACGAGCGTCGCTCTCAAACCCACTGCGTGTATCTGTATCGTCGAACAAGTACCAGACCGTCTCGACACTGCTGCAGTCATATCGCTTCATTCCCCACAAACACAAAGATATCTACCTTGTATACCTCCTCAACGAATTCGCCGGTCAGTCCGCAATTATCTTCACTCGCACTGTTCACGAAACACAAAGAATCAGCTTTCTCCTTCGGTCGCTCGGTTTCGGCGCCATTCCGCTACATGGTCAGCTCTCCCAGTCCGCTCGGTTAGGCGCTCTTGGGAAGTTTCGTTCTCGCAGCCGCGATATTCTCGTCGCGACGGACGTCGCCGCCCGTGGTCTAGATATTCCTTCTGTCGACGTCGTGTTGAATTTTGACCTGCCCACCGACTCAAAAACATATGTTCATCGTGTAGGCCGTACGGCCCGTGCGGGAAAGAGTGGTGTTGCTATTAGCTTTGTGACGCAGTATGACGTCGAAATCTGGCTACGTATAGAGGGCGCACTTGGGAAGAAGCTCAAGGAGTATGATTTAGAGAAGGAAGAAGTAATGGTTCTGGCTGAGCGTGTGGGAGAGGCTCAACGGCAGGCTATTATGGAGATGAAGAACTTTGATGAAAAGAGAGGCACGAAGGCCAAGAGATTCGGCAAAGGAAAACGCTCTCGAGATGAGATGGATCAAGAAGAAGGATGAACTGGGAGTATGGAATCAAAAATTGTCCCTAATTGCTATTATGATGCCAATACCCAGACGAGATGACTAGATTTTTTCAATGATTTCCTTACATTATCAAATGAATTCTCGAGTGGAGATAAGTAGATGAAACGTAAAGTACAACAGCTGGTGTATATTCTGCTTCTGGTATAACTCAGAACATGTCATAAATCATTCAGGACAGTCCCTGATATTCTCTATAAATTTAGACCGAGTGGTCGACTTTTCCTTGACGCAGAAGTTGCTAGACCATCATTGTGTCGTGGTCTAATTCCTCCTCAAAAGGTCCCATTACCGCACTACCGTCGACATCATTGACCTGCATTTGCAGGCTGCCTTTTGAGTGCACCAATGCTCGGAAGGGACTTTAGATTTGATATGAAGATTGGCAATTTAAGAAGCCTGCAAGATCTCTTTGACGGTGCCGGCATCCCGAACGGCATTGGCAACGCGAGTAGCGAGATCGTCGGCTTCAGATCGGCTTGCAGCCTCGGCATAGACACGCACCGCATCTTCCGTGCCACTTGCACGGGCGAAGCTTCGTCCCTTGTTGTAGCGGGACTGCAGAGAATCAATCTTTGCCTGGAGTCCGGGGGGCGATTCGAGCTTTCGCTCGGCGTCGTAGGCCTTGAAGATTGATCGATCAGCAACCTCCACACGCACAAGCCGTGAGGGGAGATCGGTATATGTGGCAAGCCATTCCTTAGGGGTCCACCCTTTGTGAGCAAGAATAGCTTCGACGAGGAGCATGTCAGAGATGGCGTCGCCAACCGCTTGGTTAATCAAATCAGTAAGAGCTTGCAGGCACTCTAGCGAACGCTGCTGGGCCGGAGACTGCGGCTCCGTATTCTTAATGGTCTTCAAAGCATTCTCTGAGAAAGTGATAGTGCCGTGTCCATTAGCTTCGAAGTAGACGCCAACATCGAACCGGAGGGCGGCATGGTGGAGATGTTTCACACCAGTGTTGGTGCAAACAGATGGGAGTTTGAGAACTTTCTCTATGTACTCGGTGCTCGATCCGTTGGCATAAGCAGTCTGAACGACGCCGATCTTGAGCTTCTGAGCAATCCCGGCGCTGCGGGCGAGGTCACCAATGAAGGAAGCGGCAAGAGTGGCAATGCGGTCACCGTCCAATAGCCTAAATACATTGCCTTCGTCAAGGAAATAGTAGACAATACGATCGGCATCACCATCCAGAGAGGCGCATCGATCGAGAACAGAAGCCTTGGATGATGGCGGGGCACGCTGCTTGGTCTTGACATAATCGGCGCCGCACTGATACAATGGTTAGTACGGCGAGAATTGAAGGGAGTCACGGAAGTTGCTTACTTCGAAGTTGAGACTGTCAGGATTGATGACATCGTCGTTCACAATCTTGATGTCGAGACCAGTGTCCTCGGGCAGATATTTAATGAGTTCCCTCAGCTTAGGTCCACCGACACCGTTTGCACAATCAACAGTCAAAGAGCCCTTAACCTTGACGCCTCTCATGACCCTCTTGAAAGCTGCGGCAAGCTTTTCGTAATATCCTTGCTCAGTAGGCTCACCATACTCGTATTGCGTTCCCAGAGTGTTCTTGCATCGGACGACGTAATGCAGCTGGGGAGTGGTCATATACTTCATATCGATGAACTCGGCCTCCGTGGCAGTGAGCGCAGCACTGAGGACGCCGACGAGTCGCGAACCGGATGCACGAGTATCCCGAGCGAAAACAACACGAGCAGGGTTCTCCATGCTGACATCGATCTCCTTAACCAATTCGTCGTAAACATCACCGATGTTTTCCAGCGGAGCATTCGCGAGTTTTGTGGCGTATGCTTCCCATTCAGCCTAGTGAAACGAAGAGTCAGCATCCGGAGAGTATCTTTTTGTCGAAGAGGAGGCCTACTTCCAACATTTCACCCTATTTTATATCAATACGTCAGCAATTTCACATTTCATAACCCCATCGAAAGTTCCATAGGAGCTCACCATTGGGTCCACCAGTTTGACACCGTTGTCCTCGGCAGGATTGTGGCTCGCAGTGACCATGACGCCAATCCATTGTCCGCTCAACTTCTTGGAGCGAAGTGTTGCAAGCAAGCCTACAGCATAAACAACAGTGTTGAGGAGGTCACTGCGACGGATTGTCCATTAGAGCTGCAACACGGCGATCGTGGGGTACGGTGGAGGCGGGGTTGATTTGTTCCTGGGAAAACAAAATAGACTTACGCTCTCATACGGAACTGTAGCAATAGATTTCCAGTCAGCTTATACAAGCATAGAGATAGCTGGGAAAGATTCAACATACGCCCGCCGTGCCATATTGGAAGATCTTGCCCTCTGGCTTTGCATACTGCAAGGCCGCGTCTGAGATAGCTTTGCGAACGGCTGGAGACGCCATTGTTTGCGGCGCGGGACCTGGCCAAAGTCGTGTCGGAAGCCCTAAATTTGATGAAACGAGAGTGATGAGGGGTCGCTGGACCTTGATGCGATAGAGCAGGACAAGAAGTAGTTAGAAAAGTTGGGTTACAGAAGAAGAGGGCCAGCCGGTTATTAAAAAGTTGTCAGTCGCAACCTACACGAGGGGGGAGCGGACTGGCCTGGCAGCCTTAGGCCACTTTAGCTCCTCCTTCCTTGCTCCCCACAGTGCTCAAGCGGTGAGCCAAAGAAATAGCGTGGTAGGCGCGGTTTCACAGCAACATCCTCCAGCTCTACGGAGTAATCACACCTGATTATTACTGGCCACTGATAACTTGAAAATAAAGTTCGGTTGAAGCAAAGGAGTGAAAGAAAGCAAGGGGAACAAAACAAAAATATGTTTCGGATTTGTCATTGCCGCAAACTCTACATGAAACGTTATGCATTTTACGACGGGCTTATGCAAATATGGCATCTGTGCTGGGATCCACAGTACAACTGCCGCGATCAGGAGAGCCCGTCACCGGATCATGCTTTCAGTCTGCGGCTTGAGACATCATTCTGGATGTCTTTGATTAAATACCTGTTGTGCATTAGAGTCGAATTTGCTTTTCACCAGCGGACGGCCATCTGTCGGGCACTTACATATACCACCATGCGGTGGGAATGACTGTTCCAAGATGCCACAAGCTGTGAGCATCAATAAGCCCGTGCCAAGGAGGAAAGTCCTGCAACTCGAGACTCATGGCCAACATAATCCACACCACAATCATTCCGGGCCAGGCCATCCAAACTTTGCCTTGCTTCTGATACCGGACGATGCTGAACCCCGTCCAGAGTATATTTTGAATGGCTCCGACCACGACGTTTGCAATCATGTTGTAGGTGTAATCCCATGACCAAAAACTGAGATAGCATACGTGCATGGTGTATAGAAGAACGCAGATTGTGGTTGTTAGACGGCGTAGAGTCGGCTTGTACCGCGGTTTTCCTTGGTCAAGGCGCAGTATCCTAATTATAGCAAGGTATAGCCCGTACATCACGTTCGCACCAGCTCCGAAATAGTCTAATTTTTCTGTGAGAGGGAAATCCCTTGTGTGGAATAACATGCTGAATGTCCAGCACGCCAGCCCGCAGTAACCAAAATTCAGGTAGTATGGCCGCAGAGAATGCCATGCTGGGATTGTTTCTTTGATTCGAGTGATGCCATTCCAGTGAGCGAGAAGATTGAGGAGGGAGAAAAGGACAGAGAAGGGCTCCTGCATGCCGAGGATCCTGCGAAAAGGCCATTTTCCATGAAATTGTACAACTGGATTTAACATCGGAGGGTCACGGGCAAGTCGGCGGTCCGTTACTACATGTTGACAAGTGTAATCGCACTCTGCTGGACAAGTCCATAAGAGAAGGCGCAGATGGAGTGCTGTGAGAGAACAATCAGCACGGACGACACAGTAGACTGGCGAGACATACGAATGACAGAATTGCCATCTCGACAATTTTCAGCCTGACAGATCTTTTTGACAATGAGTTCGCTGTTTTGAGTTCTCCAGGCGTTGTTCTTAAGGAAATGATACCTTGACACATTCTTTGAAATCAGGTAGGTGATCACCCAAGGAAGCCGTCGACTTCCCTATTAGAGAAGCAATGAGAAACGCGAGAAAGTACAAGCAAAGCTTGCTCTTGTCCGAGCACAGAACCATGGTGCTAGGTGTGCATGGAGTACAGTGCAGAGCTGGAGTGCCTGAACTTAAGGGGAGAGCATGTGAGTTTGACGCGTTAAGGTAGGGGTCGGAGATGAGTCTTGGCAGTTCATCTACGGAAGTATCTACAAAGAAACTGGGGTTCTAGACCAGGAGGGTAGGATATCCCCGCGTACTTTGGACAATTCTATAACAGCTTTGTTTTGAGAATTTGACAACTCTGAGGTATCTAAGAGACAAATAGACGGGTAGAGTTATACACTTCTTTTCTTAACACAGCTCCTTAGACAAGGGGAGCCTGAATAATACAGCAACATTCGGACAAAACGCCGAGGTGTTGTACATCAACCCTAATCAGAGATGATCTCTGAGGGCTAACGAAATCACATGGAGATTACCGGAAAAAGTCTAGTGCGAACCAAACTCGGGACTAATCTTAATGGGGATTTAGCGTTTGCCCTGAAGGAGAATTTCTATTATTGATGGCAAAAGTAAGAGGGAAAAAAAGTCGAGCTTGAGGGGTCGTTTGGAGATAATATTTACTTTATTTCTCTCATCTCATTCCATCACAAAAGCAAATCTTGGTCTCTTGGTTGGCTTCTACCCCTTTGTTCTCCTCAGATTCATTCTTTGTTCATCCATTTTCCCCTTTACCAACCAAACAGCATCCCTATTTCAAGATGGAAGGTGTTGAGAGACAACAATCTGCAGAGCCTTCAGCTATGATCACCAGCAGTGCTGATCGTATGGTGGGCATGGACCATGCTGAAGTACGTTACTTCACCAGGTATGCGACTAACTTTTTCCCCCTGATCTGTATGATCTTCTGTGTCTGACCTTGTTCGCAGTTATGATCATCATGGTAAATTCTGCCTATTATCCACAAACGTTGAAGGGTATGCGAAGCTGACACAAATTCATGCTAAGGCATTCATGAGGAGATGCTTGTAAGTTCATATACAACATGGAATCAAATTGATATTAGTGCTGATAGTATCCCCTCACAGAAAGACGATGTCCGGACTCGGTCATACCGCGATTCCATTTATCAGAACCGCCACATTTTCAAGGACAAGGTTGTCCTCGATGTCGGTTGTGGCACCGGTATTCTCAGCATGTACGTCTCACATGTCCCGAATAAATCAGCACTCCACATACTGATGTTGTGACTCAAAAGGTTCGCCGCGAAGGCAGGTGCCAAGCACGTAATCGGCGTGGACATGTCCTCGATCATCGAGAAGGCGCGCGAGATTGTCGCGGTCAACGGCCTCTCAGACAAGATTACTCTTCTTCAGGGAAAGATGGAGGAGGTTCAGCTCCCATTTCCCGCGGTGGATATTATTATCTCCGAGTGGATGGGATACTTCCTCCTCTATGAAAGCATGCTGGATACCGTTCTGTACGCTCGGGACCGCTACCTTGCTCCTGGCGGCAAGATCTTCCCTGACAAGGCTACCATGTACTTGGCTGCGATTGAGGATGGCGAGTACAAGGATGACAAGATCGGATGTGAGAGATCTCTCGCTTACGTTAGGCTTTGAAGGGAGTACTAATTCGTATAGTCTGGGATAACGTTTACGGATTCGATTACAGCCCCATGAAGGAGATTGCCCTTACGGAGCCCCTTGTCGATACCGTCGAGCTCAAGGCCCTGGTCACGGACCCTTGTTCTATTATTACTTTCGATCTTTACACGGTCACCAAAGCAGACTTGTCGTTCAGGGTTCCTTTCTCCCTTCCCGTCAAGCGCAGCGATTTCATTCACGCCATCATCGCGTGGTTCGACATTGATTTCACTGCTTGCCACAAGCCCATCAGCTTCTCCACTGGCCCTCACGCCAAGTACACACACTGGAAGCAAACTGTGTTCTATCTTCGCGACGTTCTCACCGTTGAAGAAGAGGAGTCTGTGTCCGGTATCTTGGAGAACAGGCCCAACGACAAGAATCCTCGTGATCTAGACATTCAGATTTCTTACAAACTGGAGACCACGGACAAGTTGCGCTATGCTGAGGGCAACTGCTTTTACAGGATGTAGGTCACTCCTAGCCCGGCCTGCCGCACTTCAGCGCTAATTCTTCGCAGGTGCTAAATCATCAATCTCTTCGGATACTCGCTTGATAAACTTTTCCCTACCGTTATTTGAGGACAGATCGCATGCTGTCGAACGACACGAAAGCTTCGCCTTGTGAGGCAGCAATATTGCATATATGAAAGGTTACTTGTATGGACTTTGGGTCGTTGTATGGTCTCTTTCTTCCTTTCTTGTTTTTCGGCGTTGTATTGGATGGCAGGAGAACGGCACATTATTTGGCGCGAACGGAGAGACTGATTTTGCATGAGACTTTTTGAAGCTCCTCGAATTTTTTCAAGTAGATACCCCGAGTTGACGCTCAGTCCAGCCACCTCCGACGTGTTCCTTAGACTGTTTTGACCTATCATCTACTTTTACATCCATATCCTTCTTTTTTTCATTTGACTCGGTTAATCTTTCGTTAACCCACTTAAATCGAGGAAGGTCTGAAGGAATACGCATCTGACCGGGAGCGTTCATGCCTTGTTCCATGGGCGATACGATCATAAGTTGATGAGGAGTGGAACTAAACCATTTTGTAAAGTTCCTCGGCTGAGATGTAGATCAAACAAACAAGCTGAGGGGATATAAGTAGTAGTGGCCTGGTTAGGCCAGGTTTTCATTCAACTAAACTACCGTAGAGTAGTACCTCAATGATAGAGAATTTCATACATGTCACAACTATTTGCATTGTCGTCAAAGCTGATTGTAGCTCGTTATCTCCAAATAACACACACGTGATCTCACAGCGGGCTTTGCCCCAGATAAGCATCAAGATGCGGAGAAAAAGCATCTCACTCTGTAGCCATTGCAGAAGCATCCACAAGGATGAACGCTTATACCTCGCTCAGGGCACCCCGGGCCTTGAAACATGTCTGGTAATACCTCTTGAACTGCTCCTTTTCTCATAACATGGACTAACGCGACAGTCAGCGCAAGGCATTTTAGGACCGGAGTTCCTACGAAGTACACGCGTTTGGTATGCAATCGACGTAACTCTCAACCTCGAAACAATCACAGTCTCGTGAATCAGTTATGTCTCTAGCTTACTAACTCGGCAATACAGGCAGTCAGCTCTCGGGGCTTGCCAAACGCAGGCCGTCCTTTGACGCTGAATCGGCAACCCATGACCATCCGCCGTTACTCAAGCATTCCGCCTGAAAACGAGACAACATCTGCGCAGGAGAAGCAGGCTCCTTCAGGCAAGAGTGAAGAAAAGCCCTCACCGATGCCTTCAGCCGAGACCTCAGCGACGGATGAAATGGAATCTCCATCAGCAGCGCCTGTGAACGAGACATCTTCGACAGAGGCAAACGAAAACACATTGGCAGATGGAGACGGTACAGCGTTTATTGATGTGAAGGAGAATTCAACGGCGACCACAAATGAGACCTCCACAACCGTTTCAGAGACAGCTGACCGGAAGACCAATGCGGAGTTCGATTCAATACCGAAGAATGCTGCGAGAAGATTTGTTTCAGTGCGCTTAGGTCCTCTTGGGTCAAATATGAATCGTTACGGGGAGTTGTAAGTCAAACATCATGAATTTTCGCCTTTATGTGCGAGAGGAGACCACTTGCTGATAGGTTATAGCGGACCGTTTTTCCTCAGGTGAGCGGACTAATATTCGCTGCATTCGCTATTGACGCTCACACAGTGCTTTTTTGCATCTTCAAGGGAAAATTGCCAGTGCCCATTGTGCCTCCGTCCAGATACGAAGCAAAGATCCGTGGATACTTTCTCTGTATGACTTGCGGTTCCTCTTGGCCGCCTATGTACTTGCTAATCGCTTTCGCTTGTTCGCGCTTTAGATACACCCTGCGGTCAATGCTAAAGACATCATATACGGTCCTAACCTCGTTGAAGTACTCTGTGAGTTTACAAGCGTTAGGCCGGTGGACAAGAGGCTAACTCAGTCTAAGTCTCTGATGGGCATAGGGGACTATATCCATATTCATGGTTAAATAGCCATGCCAACCTCACCACCGAGAGAAAAACTTTCTCTGCGCCGTTCAAGTTCAGGTTCGTATCACCTTCATTCTGTATATTATCGAATTTCATTAATCCGTCATCGCCAGAGAATTCTCATCCTACAATCCTGATCAGGACTCTTATCCTGAAGTCGAGTACTCCGAAGTTATGTCCAACGACGCCTCGTTGTTAAGATGGTTTGATGAGATTGTGAGTGGCTCCTTCACTCAATACATGCTCAGCAGCTCACACCAGTCAAGTACAAATGGGGTTTCTGTTTTGTGAAAGGAGTCCCTGTGGATCCTGAATCAACCAAAGCACTTCTTGAACGGATTGCGTTTATCAGACACACTCATTACGGTAATACATTCTCCCCGCAGGCTATTGTCGCCTTCAACGTTTCTACACTAAGAATATCCTACTAATACATCAAAGGCGGTTTCTGGGATTTTACATCGGATTTGACCTTCAAGGACACTGCCTACACCACGGAATTCCTAGGCGCGCATACAGACAACACATATTTCACTGACCCTGCTAGACTTCAGCTCTTCCACCTTTTGTCGCACACTGAAGGCCATGGCGGGGCCAGCTTGCTTGTAGACGGTTTCAAGGCTGCCTCCATCATGCGACAAGAAAATCCAAAACACTGCGGAGTCCTCGCCGCTACCAAGCAACCGTACCACTCAAGTGGGAATGAGGACGTATGCATACAACCCGCCGAGCAGGCCCCTGTCTTCAAGATTCACCCCGATCTGAACCGACTATACCAAGTTCGGTGGAACAACTATGATCGAGCAGCGAAACGAAACTGGGGATTGAAGGAGCAGAACCGATGGTATAACGCAGCACGCCATTTTAACAATATTATCCAGCGCCCGAACGTTGAAATATGGACACAGCTTCAGCCCGGAACTGCGCTCAGTAAGTGCTTAAACGCCCTTTTGGGGGACTCGGCTAATTAGAATTCTAGTTTTCGACAACTGGAGAATGCTTCATGGTCGTTCCGAGTTCACTGGCAAGCGGCGGATGTGTGGTGGATATAGTATGTTATACTTCTGCCTTTCCTTTTAGTGAGTTGAGGACAGAATTTTTTCTTACTAACACTTCATAAGTCAACAACGACGACTTCATCTCGCGTTATCGACTTCTGAAATATGGAAGAGAAAAGGTTATCGAGAATCTGGGTAACCTTGCTTTCTACAAGGGTAATCCCACTCTGCTGCTGTAAGCGGAGAGCCCAACAGTTTCCTTGCTATAGGACGACCAAAGGTCAACTCTCATCGGACACTTGGGAAGCCCCTCTGCGCGAAGCATATGATGTCGGAAATGTAACATAGCAAGTACTATTAGGCGTACATATCAGAAACCTTTTGAAAAACGAAGCATAATGAATCAGACCGAAGTCCTCAGTTGGCCATCAGCGGGGGCGGTCGAGGACGCCGGTAGAGATCAATATCACGTGATGTAGGCAGAGCAGCTGACGTTGTTTGGTCGGAGCTCAGAGCATCGCCTGGACAGCTTCAACCCTCCTACCTTCTATCTCAATCTCCCATCCGTTCTCTTTTTCGGGATTACAGACCCTCAATACTCTTTTACTTCGCAAATCCTGTCAGCTCCCATACTCGCACATCACCCCTGTTACCATGTCGACCCTTGAAGATCTGGAGGATCTCGAACGCGAGGAGAGAGACAAGAAGAAGGACCAGGGCGATGGTGACGGCCAGCAGCCTGGAGGAGATGGAGATGCTGAAATGAAAGATGCCGATGCGAAGAAGAAGGATGAAGAAGATGATTTACTGGATGAGGAAATTCTCAACTCAAGCACAGCAGACATTGTCAAGCGGCGACGGATGTTGGAGAATGAGCTCCGCATAATGAAGAGCGAGTACCAACGATTGACACATGAACAGAATACTATGCGGGAGAAGGTGAGGGATAACCAGGAGAAAATCGAGAACAACAGGTACGATATGCTTGTCACCCTATCCACTTCAGCTCTGCCCTACTGCCGTTGATTGCCGGGACGCCGGAGCGGTGGCGATGTTGCAGGTCTATCACTGGGGTTTGTTTGAAGGCTTTCAATTACTCTTCTAACACTTTCATTCACAGGCAACTACCATACCTTGTCGGAAACGTCGTCGAGCTTTTGGATCTGGATGTTGAGGCCGAGGCCGCCGAAGAAGGAGCCAACATCGATCTTGACGCTACCCGAGTGGGCAAGTCCGCTGTCATCAAAACATCGACCAGACAGACTATCTATCTTCCTCTCATCGGTCTGGTAGATCACGAGAAACTGAAGCCCGGTGATCTGATCGGTGTCAACAAGGATTCATATCTAATTTTGGATACACTACCTGCCGAATACGACAACCGTGTGAAGGCCATGGAGGTTGACGAGAAGCCGACAGAGAAGTACACGGACATCGGTGGTTTGGACAAGCAGATTGAAGAGATCGTGGAAGCCATTGTATGGCCGATGAAGGAGGCAGAACGATTCACGAAGATTGGTATCAAGGCACCAAAGGGTATGTCAACCGTTTTTTCCCCGTTCCCTCCGTTGTCGCTCGGCCAGCATTCTAACGCATATCTTCTCTTCTGCAGGTGCTCTGATGTACGGTCCTCCTGGTACCGGTAAAACCCTTCTTGCGCGAGCCTGCGCCGCAGAGACAAACGCTACGTTCCTCAAGCTTGCCGGACCTCAGCTGGTGCAGATGTTCATCGGTGACGGTGCCAAGCTGGTCCGGGACTGCTTCGCTCTTGCCAAAGAGAAGGCTCCTTCGATCATTTTCATTGACGAACTCGACGCCGTGGGTACCAAGCGTTTCGACTCCGAGAAGTCCGGTGACCGTGAGGTGCAACGGACCATGTTGGAGCTTCTGAACCAGCTTGATGGATTTGCTTCGGATGATCGTATCAAGGTCCTGGCCGCGACAAACCGTATCGATGTCCTCGATCCCGCTCTGCTCCGTTCCGGTCGACTGGACCGCAAGATCGAATTCCCTCTACCCAACGAGGAGGCACGGGCAAACATCCTGCAGATCCAC